GAGACCACACTGAAAGATCTGGCCCAGCCCGATTTGAAACAAGAAAAATCACAAAACAATAGAAAAACACAATTTCAAAGTAAAACTCTGAGAAAAACAAAAATGTGAGAGTGAAATAACCGTAGTTAGACCATTATTGTTGCAAAATTAAAAGCAGATTTACATTTCAAGAAATATCAAATATCAACATTGTAATAGAAAGAAAAATAAAGCTTTTCTAGTCTTGTTCCAAGTATTTTGTGCTGTCTGCTTTTATTTGCTCTTTATGCAAACTGAGAACTGCCAAGAAGTCAATCATTTCACAACCCTTCTTTATAAACAGATTTGTTTAACCAAAAAAAGCAGATTGCAATAAATAACTACTATAATCACCCTTCCTCTCCATTTTTATTAGGTTTTCTATATTAATATGTGTATGCTGAACACATCAGTTATCCACTTACAGTACAGACTTTACCTATTTTTCTAATCCATTTCCTCCATTGACAGGACTATGCTCACAATTCAAAAAACTTCTTTGTAGACATTTACTTATTTCACAGTTCATTAACCTTCAAACAGAACACCTGCCAGTTTGCAGGTGTGTTATCTAAAGCAATGATACACTAAGTGCTAAAGTATGTTTGTGTCAGAAATGCTTATGAAAGTAATGTTTTTCTCCTCTGAGCTACCCAGCTGAGTTGAATTTATTTGCATCAATTTATAATGAGTTTTTTTCCTGAAGGTAAGGGCAGTAGTTAAGCACCAGTCACTGCAAATATGTCCAAAAAAGAATAAAACTGTACTGTCTACCACTTCTTAAAGTATACAAATGGCTGTTTTTAATCTTTATAAAAAATTGAAAAGGATTATTCACTCTAACTTCTTTCCTTCTACAGTAACACTACCAGGCTTCATCTAAAAATTAACATCTTTTAACAGCTTTTTCACACAGCAGGGAAAACCTCACCAAGTGTCATATTCTTCCTTTTAACAGTTCTCTGTGGAGCACAGTGACATTTTCAGTTTTCTGTGGCTGGACTAGCCTCACATTGGCTCATTTTCATCTGACCTCAGGGTTTTCACATCATTAATAAAGAGATGATCAAAACAAAGGGCATATACATTAGGGTAGGAAAATTTTGCATAGTTTGGCACTATTATCATATATGACCTTAAAAATGGAACAAAATGAAATGCACGTAGCAGAGGTGGTGAACCTTCTAAGGACTGCTTCCAAACATTTTTCCTACTGGCAGCAAACCATTTTCAGACCTCCCAACTCTGGCCACCGTGATAGTTACTGCTATATGGGGTTTATTTCGTTTTGTTTCAGCTGTCAAAAAAATCTTCAAGTGATAGCTTTTTAAGTCAACTAAACATATTGAAATCAAAACAAAACACTGACATCACTGGGACAACAGATTAGTTTCTAGGCTTGTTTACCAATCGTTTTAACTTCTTTCACATTATGTCACAAATTGCCATTGCACCTGAAACCTGATCAAAAACTCATCCAAAAAATTCAAGTGCCCTTTTATTTCTGATGACCTGACACATGTCAACCAACTAAATCTGCTAGTCATGCCTCAATAGTAGTCAGTATTCTTCAGGATGAAGATCATCATAACTCTGCTTACACTTCATTTCTTACTGTTGAAACCAACTGTGCAAGCTACGGCTCAAACTTAAACTACACTTTTAAAGCAGTAATATTTTTCTGAGCTAAATTTGCTAAGACATCATTAAAATTCCAAACATGAAATTATACCCCCAGAAATCCATTCTACTGAATAACAAACACTGGTAGAATTTGCCAACAAATAGAGTGAAACCAATGAACTTCCAGGGATACATGAACTACAAAAAATATGTTACAACATGTTGTTTCTAAGCTTCATGCCCTACCTGAGCTGGCTTGTAAGAACCATGTGGGTAGGTGGAGGGCTGGCTATCAACTGGAATCAGGACACTCCAGCAGAGCCAGCACTGCATCCCAGGGGTTAATACTGCAACCAGTCCTGTTCCATGTCTTCATTAATGATCTGGGTGATGGGGTAGAGTGCAGCCTTAGCAAGTGCTGGTGGAAGAAACGTTGAAAGGGCAACTCATACAGCAGAGGGTCGTGCTGCTGTTCAGAGGGATTTTGACAAGCTGGAGAAACGTGCTCACATGAACCTCATTGAGTTCAGGGAAAGGAAAGGAGAAGTCCTGAACCAGGAGAGAAACAATGCCAAGCACCTGCACGTGCACGTTCATTAGCTGGAAAGCAGCTTTGCAGAAAAGGACTTTGGGGTGCAGGTGGCCACAATGGAGAACACCAGGAATGTGGCCCTGCAGGGACACACTAACAGCATCCTGGGCTCATGAGGGGTTTAGGGAGGTGATCCTTCTCTTCTATCAGTCACTGTTCAGGCCACACCTGAGATATCATGTCCAGCTCTGGGCATACAGAAGACAGCCCAGTGAAAGGCCATAAAGAAACTAAAGGATTAATTAAACATTAAAGCATTGGAGCATCTCTCATATCACAAAAGCCTGAGAGAGCTGAGCGGTTTAGCCTAGAAATGTGAATGGGGCATCTTATCCCTGTGTATAAATATCTGAAGGAAGGCTGTAAAGATGGAGCCAGTGAGAGGTGGTGCCCAGTGAGAGGACAAGATGCAATGGCACAAACTGAAACCCAGGGGTTTCCCTCTGAATACTGGAAACACTCACACTGACCCATGTGGCCCAAAGAGGCTGGAGAGTCTCATGCCTTGAGAAATTCAAGATACATCTGGATTTGGTCCTGGACAGCTGGCTCTAGGTGGCCCTGCTCGAGCAGGGGTGTTGGACCAGATGAGCCCCAGAGCTCCCTTCCCTTCAATCATGACATGATTCTCTCACTCACATCCCGTTGCATCATATGCAGCTGCTTCAGCAAAACCTGAAGATAACCTGCAGAGTACCATTAAGCTAAATAATAATAAAATGCTTCTTATGAAATAACTGAGAGCCTGTGGAGGGCTTCTTTCATTCCAGGATTTACTATGCTAATTTAATTACAACAAGGTGATTACAAAGTAATCCTATTTAGGCAGGAAGTTGACACTGCAACTCTGAACACCTTACTCAGCAGAGGATTAGAACAGTCTTTTGGTGGTTACTTTCACCTCCAGAAAGAAGCACTTCAAGGCAAGTAATGAATATGTTTAAGGACAAGACTGTACAAAAACTGTTCTACAAATAGACAGCGTAGACACGCAGGAAGAAAGGTGTGTGGTTTAATGCAGGCCAAAATGTTATTAGCTTTCCTCATCTGGGAATGACCAACAACAATAGTTTGTACAGTACAAAATTTCTTCCCTAATGACTTCCACCTGCTGGAGGGCTGCCATTTGCCCTACATCGCCCTGCAGCTGCTTTCCCATCTGCTGCTGGAAACCACTGCCCTTATCATATCCCTTTAGATAAGACCTGAGGACTGGAGATGGATCATACAATTGCTCTAAGCAACCACAATCTTTTCCCAGTTCCCAGAGAACCAGATCTGCTGTGTCTAGAAGCACTGCTGCATTGCTACCACAGCACAGTCCAGGCCTGATCATGTAAAAGGTTCACAGCCTTGTGCAGAAACTAAGAGGCATTAGGTATCTGTCAGAAGCCAATTGTTTCTGCACCAGGATTGCAGAATCCCAGCAGCTCCTCATCCAGAACACTGTAAATCAGCTCTTTGTACCACTGCCCATCATCCAGCCAGATTGTAACGCACTGAGTACAAGCCAGTGTGGTAAGGGATTAGGAAGTGTAATCAGTGGAGAACCAATGGAATTCATCACCATGCTCAGCAGTACAACAGGTCATACAAACCTTGCAAAACAGATTTGCACAGCCCAATATTGAAAATACTCCATCTTTCCGACTCAAATTCTAGACTGAGATCATTGAAATTGCTGGAGTCTTTGTCCTGGTTCTGTTATGATTACTTTGTATTGTACACATATGATGGCTGGCCCATGAAACACAAGCTGGAAATGCCAAATTTCATCTGTACCTTCTTGGCATGCAGAGCACAAGACATACAGCGAAAAGGGATAATCAGAATCTTAGAAAGATTTACTTCCTGTTTCCACAAAAAGGACAAGTTTAAGCCATTTTTTTCCTAGAGTTTTGGTAGCCAGACATTTGAAACATTCTATAAGATTCCTGGGTACCTTAAATAATATACTTCTCTGAATAGAAACTATTTGCTCTGTATGACTAAATTCCACAGCTATTTGCTTCCTGAAAGAAACAAATACATTAAAAATAAAATAATGAAGTTTTAATAGCAATCAATATAACCAGTATTGTGCGCTCCAAGACTATGAAGTTTTTTAAAACGCCAGGAAAATAGTTAATGGACATTTTAAACAGTGGATTTACATACTCCCTTAAATGAGACAACCATCTCAAATAGGTATTCCATTTTTATCCATATTTTTATGGTCTGATTTTGTAGATACATAAATAATTAATACACTGATCTATTTTAAAGAATGAAATTAGTCATATTGTAAAATATATGTTGGCTGCACTTGAAAAAAATAACCAGAGATGAAAAAAATTCACCTTTCAACAAATCCCTTCAAAATACATCTATAGCTTCATCCTTCAGAACAAAAATACACAGAAGTAAGGGAGCCTCAACCACAGCAACCAAAAGAGAAGCTCAGCCACCTAACAGATGAGCAATCAGGTCATGATATCACAACAATCAAGTCATTAAGGTTCACCTCCCCCCACTGAAGCCAATGAGAATTAGACACAAACATTTTCTTAAAAGCTTATAAGCACTTCTAAAAAGTTCTAGAATGAGAGCAGGTGTACTACCAAAATTATATATACACCAAATACATTGGCATTTAAGTTGTTTTAAATTTTTCATTATTCTTTAACAACTTTTCTGCCACACAGACCTGAATCAAACACATCAAAACCTTGATACTGGCCATGAACGCAATATTTCTATTGCATTTCATGATTAGGAAATACAATACCTCTGTCTGAAGTATGGCAGCTCTCTGTTCTTTGGCAGTAAGGGACTCTTTAAGCACTTCAATGTGTTGCTTGCAATCTGAATTCTGATTGCTAAGGGTTTCAAGCTTAGTTTGTAAGGCAAGAAGTTCTGATTCTTTCTTTGAGAGTTCTTGTTTCAGTTGATCAATCTGCAGTGGGGGGGAAAAAAGTGAGGTCATTAATTTTGTCTCCAATTCATAGCTCTGCTGGAAATCTGAAAGGTGTGAATGACCATGATATGACAAATCAGACACCTGTGAATTCTGGAACAGAATTAAGGTTCAGACTTTTTATACTCACACCTCCAATTGTGTTTCTTGCAATTTAATGTACTCTGTCTTAAGAATGAATGCCCTGTTGTTGCAGAAGTTAAAAGGAAAATCATAAAGATGATTTGGCCTATAAATTTACCACGGACCTCACTTAAGTTCAAAGGCATGTATCCCATGTGAGGCAAGTCTGGCAGGACAGCAAAAATGCACAGGAAAAAAAGTATTCATAAAAGTATAAATTCGATCCTTCCAACAGCATGATTCCTATGACTTATCATTGGCCAGAATGAATCAGAAATTTTTTGGAAGTCTGATAAAGAAAAACCAGCATCTTAAGGACAGGAAAACAGAAAAGTGGACTTTTAATCTTACTCTTTGCAAATTTGTTGCTGCCCACCATCCCCACCTCCTATTTTTCTCCCTGGCAGTTCACATGGAATTCTCAGGTAGTAGAAAAGCCAAGCCAAGCCAAGAAGCCTAACTTAAGAGAAGTCTGGGGAAAACATTATCCAAAATTCCACACAATGAAGGCTCTGAGATTATAAAAGCTTGTCCCAGAGGAAACAGCAGAAACACAATACTAGGACAGGGCTTCTGAATTTAAGTGAATTTAAGGTTCATCAGTAAATGTCATGGAATTGTGATTACTCTCCTCTTTCCACAATGATAAATGGGAAGAATAGCCAAAAAACACAAAATTCTGGTGGATTTAGTATATATGAATCAGAGCAAAGCACTGGACTACATGCAGAAAGATGTGTATAGGTGAAAGGATGGTGAATTAGGTGGTATATAACTACTCCTAAATTCCTGTGGTATAACACTGGTCACCAGCTGAATCCAGATGCATCACCTCATGAGGATTATTTGAAATAAAATGCCTCACTGCATCTGCATAACTCAGAGAAATCACTTCCTTTACATGAAGAGCTCTTTTCCATGTCCCAACAGACACTTGGGATGCAAGAAATCTAGAAGTGGTAGATGGAAGATGATTCAGAAATCCCCAGGGGAAAAAAAAGAATATCCACAGGTTGATCTTACTCAACCACATTCCAAAGATCCACATACTAAAACATTTCACAAATTCAGTGTTGCATGATACTGGAAATACTCACTGCTGATCAAAATGTTTCTATTTTGTTTTACATTAAAAATTAAATTTAAAAACAATGATTCTTCCAGCTACAGTCCATAAGTACATCTTAATATATTTATTCCTTATTTCTTTTTATAAATCCCAATATGTTTGCATTGTTCCTTAAGGTGCTCAGTAACTCACCCATGAGTTACTGTACAGAATCAAGAATCTACCCTGGCACTAAAAAGGAATAACCTTTAAAGTCTGAAAATATCAAAATCAGAAAAGAAGCATACAAAAACCAGACACAAAGAAAGAATGCAATTAAAAGCTGCTAGAGAAAGCTTTTTCTGGAAAGCAAAGCACCTTCCTCCATCCCTTGCCAGAACATGTAAGCAAGTATGGCAACCAAGAGAAAATGGATAGAAAATGAACAATGGGAAAATCTGTCTGCAAGATACAAAGACAAAACGTGGATCTGCAGCCAATCTGAATTACATCACAGGCTTTATATGAGATGCATGTGAATATCACAGATGCTCAATCTCTTCTAGAAACGCTTCCCCTTCTCTCCATGACAAAATCCACACCCTGAGAAATAATAAAAAAATTTTAAAGGCTTTGCTTTCATTGCAGGTGTGTTCTTTGTGTTTTAGAAACAGAATCTGTTTAGTGTAAAGTTCTGGCTACAAGATCTACAAATTGTCAGAAGTCTAAAAATGTGTTATAGCTCACAAAAAAAATTAAGAGTTAAAACACAAGCCAAACACACAAAGATTGTTGAATAAATACGCTGATGTCTTTTTAAAATAAAGTATCATGGTGGAAAAGTACTAAGATTTCTATTTTAAAGACTGCCCCAAAAATAGAGTTATAATAAAAAACTATAATACTTATATTAAGAAAATTTAAGCATGGGTATATTCACTTTTTTAAAGTTCTGCAATATCTCAGTGTGTAAAAAAACTAATTAAACAGGACATCAAATAGATTGTTGCCTCTAACAGATATGCAAACATTTTAGCTGTATCTAAAGTGATGTTGAAGACCAGCAGTCATGATTGAATGAAACCTCATAGTTTCACATAATACATATATAATAGATTTTTATACTTTTTAAGGACTAAAATGAAGATAACCTACAAGTTTGGATGTAAGTGCTATAGCACCAAAAACCTCCAAGTTTGTCCTCTGACCCTGACCTTCCCACTATCTCACATATATCATGTGTGTAATTTGCCTGTCACCACTGTCTCAACGTTGCCCAATATGATCTTGCTTCACCTCCTTTCTTGAAACCTTAATTCCTTTTTCTTCCTTCTCAATTTACGATTCTGTCACCTCCCATAATTTCAGTTCTTTAGAACCCATTAATTTTCCATTTCCAGAAAACCATAATGGGTGTTCTTCTGTTGTTTTCTTTTTTTCCACAGGAAATTCTTATGTGACATTATGCAGAGTGACCAGAAAACAAAGAGGAAAAACTCAGAACTTTTCTTCTGAATTTTGCACATTAAAATGAATGGCCTAAATCTTTAAATAAATTCCATTAAATGAAACTGTGCTGATTAATGCATCATAAGACTTGGTATGATGCAACAAATGACAACTGATTTTGAAGTCAAGGATTTAAGAAAAGGAGTAGCAATGCAAATCATGTGCCTGCATACAAGTCCATCAGTAGATTCTACAGGTTATGTTGGTAAGGGTCTGGTTTTAAACTGGTTGTTAAATTTCCAGGCCTACCCATACAAAAATAAAATTCTGTAGTTCTTTCCCTCTTCTTTTTGTTTGTGGGTTTTTTTGCTTGTTTGGGGTTTTTTGTGGGTTTTTTTTGTTTGGCTGGTTGGTTGGTTTTGGGGGTTTTTGGTTTGGTTTGGTTTTGTTGGTTTTTGGTTTTGTTTTTTTTTTTCCTAGAGGATCTCCTAGAACTTGCATGCTCCCTTCATTCAGTATGGAAAGCCCTTACATGCAGACATTGATCAAAGAGTATCTTACTACTGCTTTGTCAATACTTAAATCTCATTTTACTGATAATTTGCTGAAATTGTACTAATCCACCACTAGATTTTCATACCCATCCCAGTGGATAGCATAAGAGTTCTAATACTCAAAGGACTACTTAAATGCCAAGTGCAAACTCACGCCTGGAAAAAAAAAGCATCTGTGTTCATTTCAATATGTGTCTGACAGCCAAAGGATGAACCCTAGTAAGGGAAGAAAGTCTTCTAGAGCAGATATTATTATTAAAAGTACATATCATCCTGTATGTTTTATTTATATTCTCAATTAGGATATTTGAAGGTGCAGATCTCTTGGTTTTGATAATTTCTGTATTATGTGAGTAATGACAAGTTTTCTCCCTTCAAAAACTGAGCAAGGAGAGGCCTTATCAAGTGGGAAAGAAAAAGAAATCTGAGCAAGTCTTCTTTCTCATTTTTACAACTTATTTTAACTGCAAGTCACAATTAAAGCCTATATATTTGGAAGGAGTGAATATTACTAAAAAATATTTAAGAAAAGAAACACTTCCAAACATTCTCTGCCACTCATGTAAATAAATCATGTTCAGTATTTGCCTTCATTTAACACCTTCCCATTTATTTAAATCAAGAACAGATTGAAAACAAGTGATACTTCAAGAATAAATGAAAAGTATTAAGAGCTTCAAGCACCTCAGAAGAGTTTTGTACTGCTCTTTGCCATCAATTTTGTTTATCAGAATTTATCAATGATCTCAGTTTCAACAGATCAGGTACAGCAAGATCTGTTTGCTGACAGCTCCAAAAATACTTTTCCACCTTGAAAGGTTCTCAGATGAGTGATAAAAATAACATCTTCTGCTGCAAATCTTAATTTCAAGTGGAAGAAAAAGACTAGTGAAAGAAAACAGACAAAGCTTCATCAGAACATGGCATTTATGAAAGATCAGAAGGCTGTGACAAAATAATGCATATTTAATACTCTTCTTATTTATCTGCTTTCTGTGGTACAGAAATATACTGAAGCTTTTCCTCACAAAAACATCAAGAGAGTGTTAAGGTTCTAGGCTTTATACCTTATTTTTATATCAACAGATTTGCTGACATGCATTGGGAGTTTTGCTCTAAGTCACTAAAACTGAATTGCTTTGAAATTAATAATGTTTAGGTTAGCAATACAATATTCCTGATGACCATGCCACTTTAGGAGCTTTAGTTATTTTTCAGTAGCTTAAGAGCTACTTTTGTCCAACAGAATAGATATATCCTTTGATCATTAATTTTTCTTAATAAATCTGTATTAATTCCACATGAGCACTAACACTTTCATTTCTTCTGTAGCAAAAATCCCCAAACAATGAACAAGCAATAACGTTTTGTGAGTTTGAAACCGGGAAATGTGTCACATCACTTCATATTTACTACCTGCCTGTGGTCAGCTCCTAATAGTCGAGGTACAGTAAATTGAAATCAAAGGAACAAAGTCATTAAATTGCTAGTCTTGAAAATATGAGCAGAATACAATTTGGTATCACCTATGAAACAAGTTCTTACTGCAAAATGACATCAAAAGCTAAAATCAAATCATTTTCATTTCTCCAAAATGTTTCACTCCTTCACATCTACCAATTATTATATAGTAGAGATTTACCAAAAGGAGACATGCAGCTTCTTGCATTGGAAATGGTCACACTAAAACTTTTCTTTCCATTATTTAAACAGTCTTAATCTCTTTTGTAAATATATCCTACCTTATTTTTCATGAACTTTGAGTGACTCTTGTAAACTTCTATTTGTTTGATTTCTTCTTCTCGGTCCTCTGTATTCAGAACTCCATTTGTCTTTAACATCTGTATTTCATCTTCAAGATCTCTTATATTGCGCTCAAGTGAAGCTATTTTTGTATCCTAAGTTACAAAAAAAGAATATTGAAAATTATACGAGACATATATTAAAGATTAACAAAAGCATATCTGTACTTGAGTGAATATCAAATAATGAGACAGCAAAAATAGATGGTAGAAATAGAGAATCCACATAAACCAGAAACAATTCTATCAGTTTTAGCTTAAAGACATGCAGAATTCAGACCAGATCACTTCCACCACAGTTGCACAGTCTGTACAGAATACATTGTGGTCAAAATTCCATTTAATTCCTACACAGAGATGAAGGGAGAATAGCAGATGCCCTATTTTTCCACATATGTATGATAACAAACCTTGTTATCATTAGTAACCATCTAGGCCTGGCTATTCTTCCAAGCCCTTTAACACCAAGTCGAGCCTGGAGAGACCAGCCCCTGTCTCTGCAAGGCAAAGGCTCAGCCATTGTGGGTCCCTGCTTCTCTGGAGCTCTGCCTGCTCTCAGGAGGGAGAAGGGTTGTGTCCACAGATATTTTTCCTTGACTAATCCAGCCACATCACTAAGAGAGGATTTAGCACTTTTTATTGTGAGTCCCAAGATAAACAAAACCACAACCACGAAAAATTTCTACATCCCAGCCAATGGCTGCCATGTGTGCCAGCACCACACTGGAAAACAGTGATATTTTTTTGTTATTTCCAGTCATTTGGGAATTGGCTAAGTCCCTTTTGTGAGAGCCAGAAAGATTACAAAAGTGATTACACAAACTTGTCACAAATTTCTGTTTGAAAAAACATTGCAGAATTACTCATTAAGAAATCTGTTCAACAACATAAAGGATCAACCACCCATAAAATATTAGAGATCAATTGTACCATTAAGATCAATATAAAATAACAAATTTAAAATTAAATTAAATTTAAATTAAAATTTTAAAAATAGAAAAAACACCACACAAAATCCAGTGTGATTCACTAAGACCAGGTTATTAAGTTAGAAAGCTAATTAGGAAAAAAATACAAATGGAATTGATGCTTTAACAGGGATAAGCTAAGCTTGGACCACTGCAACTTTTTTCTGTTGTTTTCTTTAGATGGCCTAAAAACCAGCAAAAACCCCAACTCCTGTAATAACTTCTTTCATAATAAAGCTAGGCACACACTTTAAGATACAGAGGAGTCTGGATAAAGTTCCAAAAAGGATCTGAATTTTTGGTACTGAAGTGAAAAAGAATCTCAGGTTATTTTTGAAGACCACTGTAATACTGTAATAGATCCATATAGAATGACAGCCAAGGACTAAGCAATGTCATTTAGATAGCCCACTGTCATTCCTGTAACATTTCTGCTTTTATCTTTATAGTCAACAATAAATCTCAAACTGAGAGAAGTTTTCTTTTTATTATTATCTTATTGCAACAGAAATTAATTTTTCAATTAATTTCAATTCCAAAACAGGAAGTAAAGTATTGAGATGGAATGAAAAAGGGAAGAATTCTCATTGAATCTTATCATTTAAAGAAGTTGCACAAAAAGCAAAATACAGAAAAGATACAGAAGTATTTAAAAGCTCTTCAGACTTAAACACAGCACAAAAATAGTTGTAGATCTCACAGATACTATAAACAATTCAGCCTGCTCCATTAGACTTCATTTCAGAAATATTTTCATCCTATTTTTGAAGATAAAAGCAAAACCTAAGCTTCATTACACTTTGGAATGATTTTGCAATGAAATATATTAATACTTACATGACCTGCTGTGACATGACGTCTGGGAATAGTCTTCATCAAATCTGCCCAGCTAAGTCTATAAGAGCCTGCCTTTTTGTACTGCCTTTGTATTTTACATGTTTGCAAATACAATATGGCAGAAACAATTTTAGTACAGCCTACTACACTGTTTAGAAGGTTCATACTTCACAGAATACCATTTGAACTTTATGAGAAAAATCTAAAATGACTTGTGGAAGCATTTTCTGTACTTTTTCTTCATCATAAAATTGAAATCTCATAGGAAAAGTTTATTCTTTAGAAGGTTCATACATCACAGAATAACATTTGAACTTTATGAGAAAAATCTAAACTTGTGGAAGCATTTTCTGTACTTTTTCTTCATCATAAAATTGAAATCTCATAGGAAAAGTTTGGTTTTAATCAATATTTGCATACTGTGATTAGAGATGTGTAAAAGCTATTTTCCTAGGTCTTGAAAATTTGTCACTGAGTTCTACATTAGCTTTTTATTGAAACGGGAGCCAGAAATTTCACAAGTTTTGTGAAACTCAAAGGTTCTGTTCCTACTACAGGAAACCTTACAGGTTTCCAGCCTGGACAATTGCTGCAAAGTGAAGAACTTCATAGGTCAAAGATAAAACAGAGAGCCCAGAGCTCCCAGTGGTACTGCCACAAGAGAGCTGGGCTGGCATACAGGATGCACAGAAAGTCAGGCAGAGCTTTGCATTTGGTAAAAGTTCTGGCACATTCCTATAAAAATCTCCTGATTAAGCTGAATCAGCATTTTCCCACAGAAAATTTCAACTGGAAAATTTTCAACCAGTCTTGTTGGGGCACAGGGTCCAGCAAGCTTTCAGAAACTGAAATGGGAACAGATGCAATATTTCCTTCAAAGCTCTATGATTTATCCCCATTAGCAATATTCTAAAAAAACTACACAGGTCTGTCTTGAATCACAACAAAGATTCCTTTGCAATATTAAGGAAGCAGCTTAGTATTAAATGGTACTAATAACATCTCCTGATTTCTAGAACAATACAGCATTTGTTCAGATTTTTTTCAGTCAGGCCCTCTAAATCTGTTAAAAGACGTAAGATTATGTAGCAGGATTTGTGACAGATCAGGGCACTCACCCTAATCTATCCCCTCCTTCCAGCAGTAACCAATACTTCTTCCTTATCTCCTTTATTAGAATAGTGTTGCAGATATTCTGTGAGAGGTTAGGGCTATTCAGATTTCTGCTGGCTGGACCTAGCAGAAACCCACCTCTTTTGGAATGTGAAAAAAATTAGTATGTGTCCTGATGTTGAAGAAAACAATATTTCACAACAGAAAAAGTCCAACAAGTGAGTTTCCATAACGATGTCTCATTAAATATATCAGTCCTTATAAGACTCCTATAGTACATTTCCTGAAAACTGAGGTGCAGGAAAAGGTCAAAATATTTGTAAATAACCACAGAATCACAGACTAGTCTGAGTTGGACGGGACCCACAAGGATCATCAAGTCCAACCCTATATAATACAGCATTCCAGGCTGTCTTATTCTGAAAGGAAAAGTAAGGAAATGCTACTGCTCATCATTTGAGACACATGATAAATGTAAATTACATCTGCATAATTTTGCTTGTAGGGCATTCAACAAGTAATCAAAAGGAAATATTTGAAACATCACATTTAATAAAGCTTGAATTTAAACACACTTATGTGCATGGACTATCAATCGGCCATACACAATTACTGTATGAATTTTTACCTTATCAATTTAATACAGAGAATATTCAGGTTTTTCTTTGAAGATAAGGGAAGTGAAAGTTCATGCAATCTTAACAACAGAGTATGTTGCACTGCAAACACACACACACTTCTCTAGAAGCAAACCCATACCTGAAATATCACAGCTGGATCAATACATAAAGATGGCTCTTTCTGCAAGTGAGGTAAACCACAAATATTTCCACTTACTTTACAGCTTACATTTATAAAGACTTCATAGATGCTAGACTCCACATATTTTTCAATGTCCTATCGTTAAGGTGAGTTCTAGGCCATATTTGTAGGCAATTTCTGATTTTCTCTCTCAAGTATTATCACTGTTTTAGTGCTGATAGAATTAGACCATAGCAAAATGTAATGGCTGGGTTGGAAGCAGCATTTAAAGGTCATCTAACCCAACCCCCTGCCAGGGGCAGGGACACCTTCACTATCCCAGGTTGCTCCAAGCCCCATCCAGCCTGGGCACGAGCACCTTCATGGAAGGGACATGCACAGCTTCTCTGGGCAACCTGTGCCAGGGCCCCAATACACCCATCATAAAATTCTTTTTCTCCATGTGTCCAATCTAAATTTATCCTATTTCAGTTTAAAACCATTGTTCCTTGTCCTATCACATCAGGCCCTATTGAAAGGTCTGTCCCCACCTTTCTTGTATGTCCCCTTCCAGTACTGAAAGGCTGCCGGGCCACTGAGAGCCTTCCCCAGGCTGAGCAGCCCAACTGAGCCAGCCTGTCTGCCCAGGAGAGCTGCTCCAGCCCTCGGATCACTGCTGTGCCTCTCCTCTGCACTGGCTCCAACACATCCATGTCTTTTTTTGTCCTGTGGAGCCCAGAACAGAAGGCAGCACTCCAGGTGGGGCCTCGAGAGATGAGCAAGTTTTGACCTGATTCATTTGCTCAGGAGTACTTACCATAAATTCAAGTGAAAAGGGTGTTTCCTTTTAACCTTTTTTTAAATTATATTAATAGGTGTTAATCAACATTGACTATCACTGATATTCAGGATACATTCAAAGATATCAGTCATCTGGCATTTGCCAGCACACAATATGCAAGGGAATTACATAGATGCAATTGGAAATAAAGGAAAGGATTTCCATGCACCATTTTATTTTATACTTTAACAGACTAAGATTTAGGCATGAGGGGAAAAAAAATGCAGTTTAATCACATATATCTGCAGTCACAAAGTCAAAAGCAACCACTGCAACAAAACTAGTCTGAGGGTATAATAGGAGCATGTGAGAGAAGGAAGCCTCCTGCCCTCTCTTAGTTTTGTGACTCTGCTTTTTAGAATTAAAAAAGCTTCTGGAGAATAAGGTCAGTTGCAGAAAAGAGAACAGAGTAAAGAGTGTAGTGAGAAGCATTAGAACAAAAGACATGGGACACTGGAAGCAAATGTGTCCATGAAGCAAAACCAGAAAGTTAGGAAAGAACAGTCTGTGCAATGCATCTGAAAAGACAACAGATATCTGGAAAGGAATAAAGCAAGAAAAACAGGAGTCGACACATAGGATATGAATTTTCCATGGTTTTTTTGTTTGCTCTTTTTTTCTTTTTTGCGTGAACATACAGGAGATGAACTGGTGAACAAGACAGCAGTTATGCAAAAAATGCAATTGCTGTAAGAATAAGCAAAAACTTGCAAAACTTTAGAGAGAAATGAAGAAGACAGGACAAGTAGTGCAGATGTCCAGGACAAATAAACACAAGAGAGGCTAGGTATCAGAAATGAGTATCCTTGATTGGATGAAAAGGAATACAGACTGGGAAAAGAGACAGAAAGAATTCAGCAGTGGCAAGGGACAGAAGAAAACCACAGAGAGAATAGAAGGATTTATGAAGGAGGGAAAGTTGTACCCTGACAGAGCCTGGGGGAGCCATGGAAGGCACTCAGACAAAAAAAAAGTGGTGAGAGGCTGGAAGGGGCTGGGTGTGGTGAAGAGCATGTAAACTGCTTGGAGTCTCTGCGTGGGGGAGTGGATGGCCTGAGACTGCCATATTACAGCTAATCCTCTCCCTCCTTCTACCCTCAACATTGTAGGGAAACAATTCCTCCAATGCTTGATCATTCAAAACAAATGTTCTGCATTTTTTTCAAAACAAATGCTGTCTGGATTAAGACAATTTAAATTTACTTGAAAACATTCCAAATCTGGAACTTGTAATGAAAACTGCTGTTTAATCATGTGGATTTCAACATCTTACATTTGTCCCTTTTTCTTTTCAATATTAGGCCTACTTTAGACAGGGGCAACCCCAAAGGGGCGTGTGTTCATAGGGACAGAAGAACTGTGTGCCTCAGAGGCAAAGAGCAGCTTTGCATCAGGACTCCAGCAACAGGACTGCAGCCTCACTCACAACTAATGAAATCCCTCACTATAAAGATCTGATTTTAAAAAAGTGGAATACTGCACCACACCCACCTCTCCTGGGAATCAAACAGAAAACACTGCAGCGTCTCCAGCGACAGACACTGCAGGAGCAGTGACAGTCACCACACGTGTCATTCATGTGTCCTATACCCCCATCCCTGTTCTTTTCAAAGACTTTTGGTACAGGAAGAGGAATGGAAAATTAACTTCAACATGTCCTTCAAATTGTTATATAACCCACGTGAAAGATTATACATTATTCTTTAGTATCCCAGAACTTTTAAATTTATAATTTTGAATATTAATAGTAAAACCAAGTTTCTCAGCCAGTATCTTACTTTCCCATTTATTTAGGGTAGTGAGTTACTGTAAAAATAATTTCATACAAAGACTTCTGAACTAATGTCCAAAGCAAATATACAACCAAAAATGGAATTCTGTAATCAATGTATCTTCTTTGTTACTCATGTAATCCAAACGAATTATCTATAAAAACACAGATACTGTATTGATAAAGTCCTGCTGTTGTTTTAACTGTGTGTTTACCACCATATTCAGACATGCTGAACTCATTTGCTCACAACAGAAGTCACTGGCAAAATGAGGCCTTTAATTTGCACTTCCTTTTAAGAATTAAATGAAAGACCATCATTAATGAATTTTAACCACCATTTTAGGCAGCATTGCCAACTCACAAATTATCTCAAGTCTCATGGTATTTCTCTTAAAGATGAACAATCCAGACTTGTAGAATTATGCAAAAATACAAGTTTCACTTTTTAAATTACTATTTTTATTCCTTGTTATTGTGGAGGGGAAAGCCACAACACTTTAGTAATATCATATATCAAAAAGAGTAAACTATAGTCAGGACTAAGAGAGCTGTTTCATTACATTTTCTCATACCTGCTGATGCAACTAATATTTTCCTTAGATTGGCTGTAAAATTGTGGCCTAATAACAACCAACACAAGAACTGGTTTTAAGGTTTGAGGAGGAAAACATTTTACATTAGCCAGTTGATTCCATGTACTTTGGATCTCCTACACACCACCCCCGTCTTTTTAAAACACAATATTCTGTTCTCATTTTTCAACAATGCTACACTTGATTTTTTTTAATCAATTTTTTTTAAAAAAACAGACCAAGAGAAATAAGTACTAATTACTCCTAGCTACATAACAAAATTAATTGACATGGTAAAGGAAGCATTCAATAACTAAGAAGTAAAAGTCAAATCGACACTTGCTAGGCAGCTGTCACAGCTTCTTGTGCACTCCCCCTCAGTGGGACAGGCAAGTGAACCAGAGAGCAGAAGTGGGAAAACCCATTGTTTGAGATAAAGCTGGTGTAATATGTAAAGCAAAGCTGTGCGTGCAAGCAAAGCAACACATGGAATTCATGCACTGCTTCCCATGGGCAGGTAGAGCCTGGCTGTTTTCAGGAGAGCTCATCAGGCCCAAGAGTTATTTGGGAATACAAGTGCTGTGACTCTGAAAGTCCTCCCTTCAGTTTGTGGAGGCCGAGTGTCACACGACAGTATGGATTATCCCTGTGGTGAATTTGGGTCAGCTGTCCTCACTGTGCTCCCTCCACGCTCTTCTCCACCCCACCCTACTTGCAGGGTGGGAGCAGAGTGAGGAACTGGGAAAGCTTTGACTCTTTGTGTAAGCCCTGTTGGACAACAGCTAAAAGATCAGCATGTTATCAACACTGTTTTCAGTCTGAAATGCAAAACACAGCACCAGAGAGGCTGCTACAGGGAAAAGTAACTCCATCCCAGCCATACCCAGTACATGAGTTCATGCTGCAGAAATAACATAGAGGGAAACATGCAAAGACCATACCTTCATCTCGATGACTGTTTGCAGAGCCTTCGTCTTTGCTGGCTCAGGCTGAAGTTGGGTTCTTCTATGCAATTCCTGTGGAGGGACACGATAGAAATAAGCTTGACGACTCATCTTTCCATTATTTTAACTGCTCACACGAACTCATTGCAACAAAATAGAAGTCTGATGACAAGAGCAGGCAACTCCAAGTGCTACAGGTGCTTCCCTGGCTGTATCCCCTCTGTCACCAGTGCACTCCCTATCTTGTGTTACAGCCAGCTCTGGCAGCACATGCGCTATTTCTGACACCCCTTATCAATAATTAACGGCAGGCGTGACAACCCAGCAAGGAATTTCTCAGTCCAGATACAATGCTGCTGTTGCTGCTTAAACAACAAAACTTTATTCAATTCTGTTACTAATTCAAACACTGTTAAGTGTTAAATCTTTTATTGCAGTTTCTTCTTAATTTTTCCTCTATTGTCTGAAATAAGCAATTTAAATACATTATATTCAAATTTGACATTTTAAGGATAATAATTATGTAGTGGGCTGACGCAGCACACCCTACAGTAGCATTAACATTTCAGTTTTCACATTTTCATACTGTTTTGCATCCATCTTAATCCACAGGCAAAAGAAAAATAAATTGCATTGGTTAAGACAAAGGTAACAATACCAATACATACTGGTCCTTATAAAAACAATAATTTTTTTAAAACCACAAGAGTATGAAGACAGCAGCACTCAGTCTCATGAAACCAGAGTTGTATCTTGGTATGACATATTCCAATAAAAAACTCACATAACTACCTGGAAAAATGTAGTAAAGGTGTGGCAAAACACTTTCATTTGAGAATTTGGGGATGCTTATTCCCTTCCCATAAAAAATCTGAGAAGTTTCTTAATAAAAAAACCTGAAACAGGACAGATATTGTCCCATTTCTACTCTTTTGGAGTCTTTCTGCTCAAAGGATAGGAGTATCATCCTTGATATCTTTATGTCCCAGTTCTTTCCAGTGCAGTGCTCCACACAGACTCCTGAACTAACCTTGTAGCCATGAAAAAGATGTTTATGCTTGAGGCCAAGGAGCCAAGGTCTTGCCTCCCTTATAACCCACAAGTTTAAAAGTCATTTTTTGCATCACAAACTATCAGTTTCTTCTTCTGTGTAGCAACAAACATTGTTTATCAATGACTGTGAGAAACAATTGTTCTCAAAGACTAATTACTGTATGTTATTGAACTGAAGTCTACTGCTAATAAACATCTTTATAAAATAGATTAAAAATCTGTGGCCAAATGTACTAGAATAACTGAAAGAGACATATTAGTATACTTAACATTAAGTCTGAACAGTTTTTTATTAAATGAACTGCAGTTACATATACATATATTTAAACTACCTTTAACAGTCAACTTATAATTTTGCTTTATGCATTTTTCAAATGCTTTGGCATTTATGAAATTCTTTCTTCATTTATGATTAGTATATCTGATTGGACCCTTTTCCTTGTATTTTTTTTAATTTAAATGCAACTCTCCATATTATAAAAAGAAAAAATCTTTGCAAATCACCTATGCACGGAATCACTCAATCGCCACCAGCTGTTTTTCTTAGATTAAATAAGTACCCTCACTGCACAAATGTTTTAAAAAATAAGAGTATGTAATGAATTTGTCATACAGTTACACAAAAGAATAGTTGGCCAGTCATACCACTATCAGATCAGCAAAAATTACAGCTAATTCTAAGACCAGACTTTGCTCCCCAGGGCCATATAAACTGAGCTGGAATATAAACAGGATTCCACACATTGCCCAGGGAGACAAACCAGAGTTTCCACCCCCTTAGCCAAAGATGTATAGACTGCCAAAGATGCGTATTCCGAGATGTCTATCATAGCATGAAGCCTTGCCTCATAATGCTTTTCCTGTTTGCTTTATGAATCAATCTGATGCTGGCTGACTTAAAAGCTTTTCTTCTCTATCCCTGATGGTAAAATGAAGCAGACTTTAGGATTCTGGAGAAGATCAGAAAATGACTCCCACTTTATTATTTTGTGTGGGTTTTCTTCCAATCAGATTCAAATGTTTGGAGACTCCCACAAGGCTCAGTTCTTGAATTTATGTTGTTCTATATATGTGCTTTTTCATTTGGGGTATCTGATTCAGGGATATACTTTTGGGGTACTAATTTAAGGATACACTTTATGTGCATGATACCTGATTGTTACCCTGATTGTTTTACTGTCTGAGGTCATCTGGAAGCTTTCAAATTTGCCTGAACAGCTAAGCAAGAAATATTCTAGAGATTTCAGAAAGTCCTCATAGCCTAAGGAAACCAAATTTTTATCCATTACATCATTTCTGGAATGATGTCTATTTCTTGTTTTCAATTTCTTTTACTAAAAAGCCCAGAGAGACAAATAAGAAAATGTGGGGGGAAATAATCAGGGATAGTTTCTTTTAACCTAAACTGTATTGAATGGAACTCTTGATTCTTAAATCCATGAAAAAATTTTTGTGTCATCATCTCTGTGACAATTAAAGCCTATACTAAAAATCTCTCAGAGAAGCAATCATTTATAAAACTAGATTTTCTTTATATCCCTCTATATGACACCTGATTCTGAATAATCACTTTGCACATGCAAATTAATTGTAATTAATTTTAATTAATGTGTAACCAAATGCCTGCACCTTGTATTTCCTGATGATGCTCAGTTGTCAAGGTGATTAATGCACCCACACAAAACTAGCAGGTAATCAGATCTTCACGTCAAATTTACTTTAATAGTCTTTTCTTTTAGACTAAAATGAGCTTCAATTCAGACTTGGTCATTGCTTTCTCCTTCCACAATATCAGATTAACATCTTATATTGGCCTCAGAAGTAACTTTAGCACACAATCTTAACACTAACTTAAACACCCAAAAAAAAAAAATCCAAAGAGGAGACAGATTATAAATATAATTTTAAAATACTGGTGCAATATGAATTCTACCCTTTCATTCAGAAATTTATAATAAGATATTGCAAGATTTTTTTTCATTATTCACTGGTGCTGAAAATCCCCACTATGTAGCATAATCTGAACCTAATACTAATTACCCAACTAAAACTGTGGTTTTCTCCCAGCGTTATTAAAACACACTTCATCCCTTGGCTGCAGGAAAATCAGGGTGCTGCAAACTGATCCTTCTTTACTCTGTTTCTGAAGTATTTTATTGATGATTGACATCATTGACTGCGTTGTTCTCATTTGATGATACCAACACTGTCAATGTAGTTCAAGGTTTTACACAAAACTGCCTAAAATAATGACACGAAGTGCTAGAAAGAAAATTTAAAAAATAGAAAAATAGGCAATTTAGAGATACTGTGAAACTGTGTCTGCATTGGAAGAAGAAAGAAAAATTATTAAAGAAGGCAGTATAAAAACTGGCATGAGCAACCATTGTGTCAGTAAATGCAGCTTTTTGCCTTCACAGACAAAATGTACAAATCTGCAAATCACAGCAGATAATGGCATAAGAACTGCTAGTTCTCTCAAACACCCCAAAGCACACTGGTTCCACTCCTCTGGAAAAGAAAGCCTTAGCAGCTCTTCTACAGGATCAGCTTCTCTGAACTTTAAAATTTAGGTCATCAGTATTTCAATACTTTGATCAATCATTTAAGTAAAAGCACAGCACTTACCTAAATTGTCTAAACAGCAGTGTTTCTTTAGCCAAAAATACCATTAGAAACACTGATCAAATTCAATTTAACCAGAATACTAGAAAAATGTAACATACGGGAATTGATTCATTCTTAACATACAGACTTTTCTGCTGTTTTCTAATTCTTCACATTTACCCCCAGCCAAAACAGTCTCACAGTAATTAAAATGAAGGTAGATTTAATAAATCCTGATCAAACTCTTTGTCTTTCTGGAAATGATAAACTGACTACACAAAATTCCCATATCTGTCTCTAGTGTGCAGGAAAAAGGAGCCCGTTTATTGGAAAGGATTCTAAAAATCATGCAACCATGAATTTTCTTTTAAAAATTCACCATTATAGGTATTTGAACTCTGGGAAAACCTGCTAAAGAAATTTTGTCAAATTCCAACAAATTTTATAGCTTGAAGAAATGAAAACATCTCTATAAGAACATGAAATGAAAAATTAGAGGAAATGTGAAGAGCTGGTAGCTACAAAAGTTCTACAGAGATTTCCTTTATAAATTAGAAGTATTAAAATTTAAGTTCTCAGAGTTAAGCAAAATGCTCAGATGCATGCCTAATTCTCTCTCAATTTTTGATTTTAAATAAACAGATATGAATTTTGATGAAAATGAAAGAAATTGCATTATTCAGGGATCACCACCAAACTATACAACAAAGGTCAATAGTTCATCACGACAGACGAGTCCAGCAATAATCTCAATGGGCTCAGTACTACTCTTGAACTGAGTCTAACACCATCCCTGCCCTATATTAAAAACTTGGAGATGTAAAGAAGAGTATGAGGGAGAAAGGAGGAGTTTTTACACCAGTTGAAAACCACCATATTGAATCACGAGCCAAAATATTTCTTTGCAACAATCACACTTCCATTTATTCCTGAACTCATGCATATAAGAGAGGCTTATGAAGTTTTACCAACATACCTAAGGACAGAATATGAGGAAAAATAATCTAAGCTTTCAGCAACTTAGCTTTTCTTTGACCTGTACGCCAAAAACACTTTAAGCAACCACATGCTTTGTCATACTGGAAGTTTGTCCTCTGGCAAGAGACCACATACAAAAAGTTTCAAGTGAAATCACGATTTGTATATGGGGCTTGAAATGCATGTGGGACAATTTAGTTTGTAATCGAAAGCACACTGACTGTTTTATGAAAGGAGCTACTGAAACTCCACTTTCACCAGAATTCTTGAAAATTTATTTCTTTCTTTGTAGAAGGAATAAAACTCCTAGAGGATCATTTCTGTTTTGCACAGTACCATTAATCTCTTGTCCTCTTACCAAAAATACTTCCTAAATTTAGAAAATGGGAAGAGTTATTGCCTCACACATACTTTCAGAAAAAGAAACTTTGATG